GAATTATAGACCGATATCCCTGATGAACATGGATGCAAAAATACTCACCAAAATAATAGCCAATAGGATCCAACGGTCCATTAAAAGATTATTCACCACGACCAAGTGGGATTTATCCTTGGGCTGCAAGGTTGGTTCCACATCTGCAAATCAATCAATGTGATACAATACATTAACAAAAGAAAGAACAAGAACCATATGATCCTCTCAATAGATGCAGAAAAAGCATTTGACAAAGTACAGCAACGTTTCTTGATCAAAACTCTTCAGAGTGTGGGGATAGAGGGTACATACCTCCATATCATAAAAGCCATCTATGAAAAATGCAAAGCGAATATCATTCTCAATGGGGAAAAACTGAGAGCTTTCCCCCTGAGGTCAGGAATGCCACAGGGATGTCCACTATCACCACTGCTATTCAACATAGTATTAGAAGTCCTAGCCACAGCAATCAGACAACAAAAAGAAACAAAAGGCATCCGAATCAGCAAAGAAGAAGTCAAACTCTCACTCTTTGCAGATGATATGATACTTTCTGTGGAAAATTCAAAAGACTCCACCCCAGAACTGCTAGAACTCATACAGGAATTCAGTAAAGTGGCAGGATATAAAATCAACGCACAGAAATCAGTGGCATTCCTATACACCAACAAGACAGAAGAAAGAGAAATCAAGGAGTCGATCCCATTTACAATTGCACCCAAAACCATAAGATACCTAGGAATCAATCTAACCAAAGAGGCAAAGGATCTGTACTCAGAAAACTATAAAATACCCATGAAAGAAATTGAGGAAGACACAAAGAAATGGAAAAACATTCCATGTTCATGGATTGGAAGAACACACATTGTGAAGATGTCAATGCTACCTAGAGCAATCTTCACATTCAATGCAATCCCTATCAAAATACCATCCACTTTTTTCAAAGACACGGAACAAATCATCCTAAAATTTGTATGGAACCAGAAGAGACCCCGAATAGCCAGAGGAATGTTGAAAAAGAAAAGCAAAGCTGGTGGCATCACAATTCCGGACTTTCAGCTCTATTACAAAGCTGTCATCATCAAGACAGTATGGTACTGGCACAAAAACAGACACATAGATCAATGGAACAGAATCGAGAGCCCAGAAATGGACCCTCAACTCTATGGTCAACTCATCTTTGACAAAGCAGGAAAGAATGTCCAATGGAATAAAGACAGTCTCTTCAACAAATGGTGTTGGGAAAATTGGACAGCCACATGCAGAAGAATGAAACTGGACCATTTCCTTACACCACACACAAAAATAGACTCCAAATGGTTGAAAGACCTAAACATTAGACGGGAGTCATCAAAATCTTAAAGGAGAACACAGGCAGAAACCTCTTCAACCTCAGGCATAGCAACTTCTTCCTAGAAACATCGCCAAAGGCAAGGGAAGCAAAGGTAAAAATGAACTATTGGGACTTCATCAAGATAAAAAGCTTTTGACAACAAAACCAAAAGACAACTGACAGAATGGGAGAAGATATTTGCAAATGACATATCAGATAAAGGGCTGGTATCCAAAAATATCTATAAAGAACTTTTTAAACTCAAACCCCAAAGAACTAATAATCCAATCAAAAAATGGGCAGAAGACATGAACAGACATTTTTCCAAAGAAGACATCCAAATGGCCAACAGACACGTGAAAAAGTGCTCAACATCGCTCGGCATCAGGGAAATCCAAATGAAAACCTCAACGAGATACCACCTCACACCAGTCAGAATGGCTAAAATTAACAAGTCAGGAAACGACAGATGTTGGCGGGGATGCGGAGAAAGGGGAACCCTCCTACACTGTTGGTGGGAATGCAAGATGTTGCAACCACTCTGGGAAACAGTATGGAGGTTCCTCAAACAGTTGAAAATAGAGCTACAATACGACCCAGCAATTGCACTACTGGGTCTTTACTGCAAAGATACAAATGTAATGATCAGAAGGAGTATGGTCACCCCAGTGTTTATAGCAGCAATGTCCACAATGGCCAAACTATGGAAAGAGCCAAGAAGTCCATCAACAGATGAATGGATAAAGAAGATGTGGTATATATGTACAATGGAATATTATGCAGCCATCAAAAAACATGAAATCTTGCCATTTGCAACAACGTGGATGGAACTAGATAGAGGGTATTATGCTAAGCGAAATAAGTCAATCAGAGAAAGACATGTATCATATGATCTCACTGATATGAGGAGTTCTTAATCTCAGGAAACAAACTGAAGGTTACTGGAGTGGTGGGGGGTGGGAGGGATGGGGTGGCTGGGTGACAGACATTGGGGAGGGTATGTGCTATGGCGAGCGCTGTGAATTGCGTAAGACTGATGAATCACAGACCTCTACCTCTGAATCAAATAATACATTATATGTTTAAAAAAATGATAGTAGGAAAGGAAAAATGAACAGGGGGATATTGGAGGGGGAGAAGAACCATGAGAGACCATGGATTCTGAGAAACAAACTTAAGGTTCTAGAGGGGAAGGGGGGTGGGGGGATGGGTTAGCCTGGTGATGGGTATTAAAGAGGGCACGTATTGAATGGAGCACTGGGTGTTATATGCAAACAATGAATCATGGAACACTACATCAAAAACTAATGATGTAATGTATGGTAATTAACATAACATAAGAAAATAAAAGTAAAAGTAAAATATTTTAAAAAGTAATAGTTTAAAAAAACAAAATACATTTCTACATTAATAGAACAGTTGTTTGTAAAAAGAGATTTTCAGAAAGTGAATAAATTACCTTTTTCATCTTTTACCTGAGTTTGTTTAAATGGCAGGCTTACATTCTTTTCTCATTACATGCATGGATACCTCAAGAAGTGAGCTAGAATCTTCCTTGAATAGTGAAGTTTACTCAGATAAAATTTATGTTTTAATAGATCTATTTATTTTCTGACCATATGCTTAAGAGTGTCTCAGATTTCTTTTTTCTTTTCTTTTCTTTTTTTTTTTTTTACACTTCTTTGGGCCATTGTACAACCGTCTGTCGTCTCAGAAATTTTTATACTTTGTTCTTGTTTTATTTATTTTACTTTTTATTGAAATATACTTGACACATGTGATTGTGTAAGTTTAAAGTGTACAACATGCTGATTTAATACATTTATATATTTCAATATGATTGCCTTTGAGCGGTTTGCTAATGCCTTTATCAGGTCACATAATTATCATTTCTTTTTTTAGTGGGAGTAAGTAAGATCTAAGCTGTTAGCCGATGTGATATTTATAATACAGCATTGTTGTCTGTAATCACTATACTCTGCATTTGATCTCCAGGACTGATTTTTCAACTAGTTGCAAATATATTTCTTAATTAGTAGATCACAGTATTACTTCACTACATTGATGTCTAGTTATCTTTAAAATAGTCATTTACTGTTTGTTTTCCACACTGACATACATCGCGTCTAAAGCTGTGTGTACTTTTTTCTGGGGCTGCTTCAGTTGCTGATGGAAAGGTTCTACGGGGAAGAATTAGATTTGGTTTAACAGCTTCTGTTTAGCACCTGGGAGAGCTCCCCATATAATCAGGTCTAATGAAGGTCACTTTGAAAGGTATCATTCTGTAATTTTCAAAAGACTTTCACACATTAGTCCTTTTTGATATTCAAGAAATTAACTGACGCACACAGTAACACGTGACTCTTCTGACAACTTCAGTAATCAGTAACATCCAGAGAGGCCAAAAGAAAGAAACCATATAGGAGATGTAATAAAATCTATGCATTAGAATCCTACAAGGAGCTTTGGGGGGTTCATTCAGAGTATTTATTTATGTTATCATGCCATCTAGCAAAAATGCTCATTGTTTTCCCCACCTGCCACGGATTTTGAAGCAGAAAATTAAAAGAGGCAAAGGGTCCTGTTGAGGGCAAGCTCTAAGACAGCCCAAGAACTAGAAGGTGCCTCCACAGGCAGAAACTGAAAAGAGAAACAGGCATAACAACCTAACATCAAAATGTAAAAACAACATGGATCTTAAACCCCCCTCACGTAAGCTGCACACAGACCTACACACCTTGATTAGCACTGAGGAGAGCCCCACACAGCAGCCCAGCACAGAACTGATGAAATGAGGACCCCGAGTCTTCAAGAGAAGTGCCCTGACAGCTGCCATCTTCTGTTCTAGAAGGACGATGTACATCAGAAATGGTTAATACTGTTGTTGGTATAGCGGAAGTGAGAGTGGTCTAACCTACTACCCTTGTGTGTTTACTCTGTTAGCTACAACCCCAGAAGCTTCCACCTTGGGAAATAAGATGAATGTTGCCAGGTTTCTACAGGCTCACCCTCTGGTGCCATTAACTAAACATCCCCTCTTGGGATGGATATGAGATTGGTACCTTCAAGGCTCACCCCAGGCGCTTACTCCCAAGTGGAGTGATGGAGAATGAAGCGAGGTGAAATCTGGTAGTCTGCACATAGACATGTGAGGGGTGATTCCATCTGAACAAGAACTGATTCCCAACCCAGAGACAGCCAGGGACAAGTGAGGCATATGGAGAATCAATACTTGCAGGATATGTCACTCACCTTTTCATCCCCAGCACCCAACATGCTGCCAAGTGTTGGCATTGAATAAATGCATCATGAGTGATTGATTACATCACACCACTGAGATCCATTCTGGACACCTGTTGCTTCCTCTCCTGATATTCCCAACTTGTTGTTCATAAATGAGTCTTGAAACGTTTACCTCTGTTCCTAAGAAATACGATCATTTGTGTGTTCGAGTGGAGGGGGAGAAATACCATTTTACTGCACCATGATCCCCTTACCATAGCTTTTGATATTTTAATTAAAACCAAAAAAACATGACTGGCTTTTGTTCAGCCCTTATGTTATGTAGGGAAAGTATATGTTTTACCATACATACTATTTCTAAATGGCAACCCCAATGTTTTATGGTCCTCTCTTTTTTAACCCCAAAATAAAAGGTTTAACTATTTGCCATGTTCTTTTCTAGCGGAAGATACTAGTCTGTCTCAAAAGAAGAAGGTCACAGTGGAAGATCTCTTCAGTGATGATTTCAAAATTCACGACCCTGAGGCTAAGTGGATAAGTGGTAAGTCCTGAGTCCTGTGTGCACGCACAGGAAGCTACTTTTCCACAGTTTGGGTTTGGTCTGTTAGACCATGTTCTCTCTCTGGCTGTAGAAGTGGATGCCCAGAGCTCTTGCTGTGATAATCATCTTACTATCATTCTAAAAAAAAATGTGGATCTGGTAAAATGGGGCTGTTTCTTCGTGAGAAGTGGGTTCTCTTTGTCACCTCCCTGAATCATTCTTTCTCAGATGGAGATGTGAGTTGTTGCTAAGCAACAGGACCAGGCAGAGATACAGGCGAGCTCCCTTGCTCTCCATGTTCTTTTTTTCCTTTTGTACGGCCCTGCTTTCACTCCCCGCTAGATAGAGGGGCCGAAAGGAACTCAAAGGCTTCTTCTCGAATGCCAGTAAATGGACGAGAGTATGGAGCCTGGTGCACATTTGAGAATAAATTTATTTTCTTCTTGCCCTTTAGTCTGGATGTAATCTACTTTTCTTGTTCGGGCGGTGTGGTTAAACAACAAAACAGAATTGGAGGCAAAAGGCAAATGTATGTTCATGATGCATTTTTTGGTCCAGGACATAATCCATTTCATCCACTTGTGGCTGAACTAATTTCCAAGTGTAGTCATGGGAGAGAAGGTGTGAATGACCATGCACCATCCTCTGCAGGCTTTGCTGCCTCCCCCTTAAGTAGTCCAGCCAGCGTACCTCTCCTGCTGTCTCCATGAATGTGGATTTCATTGAGGGATCTTCAGTGGGATGCACTTGAAACTTAATCCTCAGGTCAGAGAACCTTTATGGTGGACTGCTGGAGGTCTAGTTCAAATCCTGGCTTTTATAATAAATGAGGCCCAGAGAGGTTAAGTGATTTTTTTTTGAGGTCACACAGCTTGCCAGTGGCACAGATGGTTGGAAGCCTGTCTCCTGACTTCCCATTTAGTGCTCTTCCCACTACTGTCTTGTTGAGTGACACAGTGTTACTGTGTTTTCTTGCTGTCAGGCTGCTTCTGAAACGCTGCTCATGCTTCACAAACTCAAAAATCAACTAGCAATGGCTCTTCGCCATTTGTCTCCAACTAGGGCACTAGCTTCTCTTTTATCCTCAACTGTGGCCTCAGTATTCGTTTCTGATCCTTAGATTAGCTTATTTAAAAATGAGAGAAGTAGATGGAGCTCAGAGGGAATATATTTTATACAAAGGAATTAGAGAGAAATAGGAGCAGGGTGCTGGGAATAGCAGTTGGGGGGGGGACCCACAGAAATCCAGAATGTGGAGAGAGCCAAGGTCTTTTTGTTTGATGGAGGAAGTAATTTTACCTTTTGTGTTGAGGGAGACTTAGCACTTGCTCTCAGTTTGTGTTGACCCTTTGCATAGGCAGGAGGAAAGCACCAATAGCATACTCCGGGCTCAGTCTTGGAAATGAAAGGTGATTACCCTCTTCTTAAAGATTGTGAAGTCATATTCTAGAAACAGAGCTAGCAATGAGTGACCAGGCATTTCAGTCTTAAAGAATGGCTAGGGGTTTACTAATTAGAGAAAGCAGAGAATAGACCCCTGGGGAATGTAAGGCTAGAATGTTAGTCTGTGCTAAACCTTAGTGAAGAAAAGAAAGTGGAGAGAGAAAGCGGAGAGAAGGGAGGGGGAGGAGAGGAAAACTGGTAGAGAGGCAAAATCTAGGGATAAAACAGATTGGAGACAGGGAACACTGAACCATAGCTGTGGGGTTCAGAGCAAGTCAGAAGAAGCCCTGCAAAGACTCCATGAAGTGCAAAAATAATATTCCTATGTCTGTTTGTTAGGGTGCCCATAGTTGCAGACTGGGCCTAGATCAGCATTCTATAAGCAAAAACCAAAATTTATTTAAAAAAAAAAAAAAAGCCTAGATCTGGAGTCACAAGTGCTGGTAAGTTTCTGCTGGAACTATGTTGGTTATAAGGAGCTTGTACCTCATGAGCTAATTCACACTGCAGAGGTGTGGAGCTGGGCCAGAGGTGTGCTGGCTCTCTGGCTGGAGGAAACAAGCCAAAATTTCTTTATTGGCAAAGTTGGGAGTTGATACAAGCAATTGAGAAATGGCCCCGTGTCTGGCAGAAAATGCCCAGCCTACATGTTTGGCAGGTTAATTCTGTTCATGAAGACCACCTGCAATTCTATTTATTTATTTATTTGATAGAGACACAGCGAGAGAGGGAACAAGCAGTGGGAGTGGGAGAGGGAGAGGGAGAAGCAGGCTTCCCGTGGAGCAGGGAGCCCGATGCGGGGCTCGATCCCAGGACCGTGGGATCATGACCTGAGCCGAAGACAGATACTTAACGACTGAGCCACCCAGGCGCCCCTGCAATTCTAAATGAAGTGCCTTTGGTGTCCAGCAGCTTTCTTAGGAGTACTCTCCCTTTGTAAATGTCCACATCCATCCAGTGTGACATTTTGCTACAAAGTAACCAGTAGTCAGGGTTCTCCAAAGACTAGGCACTGCCCAGAGGGTAAGCGAACATGCCTGTTTTTCCCCCTCCGCTCCTCTGAGCTGTCCTCCCGCTGGTCTTCCCTGCCTTCCTCTTCCTGATCTTCCCCTTTCTCCCTGATCCCTAAAATGTAATAGCTTAAAACGGTTGAAGTAGCTTTCAGTCGGTTAACTGAGACTTTATAATTGATGCTTCACAAGTACCATAAAGAATTTATCCATTTCTTTAATATCACAAGGCTAAATGTGAAGATCCAGGGAAAGATTACCACAGTCATAGGATTATCAAATGATGTGAAGCTGGGTGTGCTTTAGAAATTATCAGAACATTGCCTCATTCAGTTAGTGTTTACTGAGTGCCCACAGTGCAGCAGGCAAAGGACACAGTGTTGGGCCCAGGGAGCTGTTTCTTACTGGTAGCCTTGAGAGTCCCCTCTGTCATCTCCCATACCTTCTACCACCACCATCACCACCACAGTCTCCTTTCTCTCCTCCTCTTCCTCCTTTCTCCTCTGTCTGTTCCTCCTCTCTTCTTCTTCATCATTAACACCACCACACCATCATCATCACCATCACCATCATCACCATCATCATCATCACTACCATCATCCCCATCATCATCATCACCACCATCATCACCACCATCATCATCATCAACATCACCATCATCACCACCATCATCACCACCATCACCATCATCACCATCATCATCACCATCACCATCATCACCATCACCACCATCACTACCATCATCCCCATCACCATCATCACCACC